CAAAATATTGCTAATGATAAAATTCAACCTCCTGAAGAGGTCGCTCCTGAAGAGCCAACTCCTGAAGAAAATAAAACTTCAATAAATTTTGTTATTACGGGAAAGTATTGGAACCGAAGAGAAGTAATTGTCAATAATGCATTTGCATATAATGTATCACTTGATATTATGGAAGATGACGAGGATCATGAACCCAGATCGGTTGATGAATGTCGGCGAATAAATGATTGGTCAAATTGGAAAGATGCGATCCAATCTGAATTAAATTCACTGGCTAAACAAAAAGTTTTTCGATCTGTAGTCCAAACACCTGAAAGTGTAAAGCCAGTAGGATATAAATGAGTATTTGTGAGGAAAAGAAATGAGAAAAATGAAATTATGAGATACAAAGCAAGACTTGTAGCCTAAGAATTTTCACAAAGACCAGGATTTGATTATGATGAGACATATTCTCCAGTAATGGATTGAATTACATTTGGATATCTTGTGAGTTTAACAGTACATGAAAAAGTTGATATGCGTCTAATGGACGTAGTCACTGTTTATTTATATGGAACATTAGATAATGATATCTATATGAAAATCCCTGAAGGATTTAGCATGCCTGAAGCATGTAAATCAAATCCTAGAGAAATGTACTCCATTAAGTTGCAAAGATCTTTGTATGGACTCAAGCAATATGGACGAATGTGGTATAACCGTTTTAGTGAATGTTTAGTTAAAGAAGGTTATACAAATGACCCTATATGTTCATATGTTTTCATAAAGAGGAATGAGTCAAATTTTGTGATCATTGCTATATATGTTGATGACCTTAATCTAATTAGAACTCCTGAAGAGCTCCAAAAGGCGATTGAATATTTGAAGAAAGAATTTGAGATCAAAGATTTTGGTAAAACTAAATTTTGCCTTGGTTTACAAATTGAGCATTTAGAAAATGGGATTTTTGTTTACCAAACTGCTTATACCCAGAAGGTATTAAAACGGTTCTACATGGATAAAACACATCTATTAAGTACCCCAATGGTTGTCAGGTCACTTGATCCTGCTAAGGATCCTTTTAGACCAAAAGAAGAAGATGAAGAGATTCTTGATCCTGAAGTATCATATCCTAGTGCAATAGTTGCACTAATGTATCTTGCTAATTGTACAAGACCAGATATATCATTTTCTGTGAATTTATTAGCAAGATTTAGTTCATCTCCTACAAAACGACATTGGAACGGTATAAAGCATATTTTTCGCTATCTCCAAGAAACAATTGATCTTGGCTTATTTTATTCTTATAATTCTCGACCAGAATTGCTTGGATATGCTGATGCTGGGTATTTATCTGACCCGCATAAAGCAAGGTCTCAAACTGGTTATTTATTTACATGTGATGACACCGCTATTTCATGGCGATCTACAAAACAATCAATTGCTACCACTTCTTCGAATCATGCTGAAATAATTGTAATTCATGAGGCTAGTCGAGAATGTATTTGGCTAAGATCAATGATCCACTATATCCGGAAGAATAGTGGATTGTCTCCTGAAAATAAAAATCCTCTGACTATTTTGTTTGAAGAAAATGCAGCTTGTATAGCTCAATTAAAAGGAGGATATATTAAAGGAGATAGAACGAAACACATTTCATCAAAATTCTTCTTTACACATGATTTGCAAAAGAATGGTGAAATCGTTGTGCAACAAATTCGATCGAGTGATACCTCACCAAGGTATTGTCGACTGTAACTTTGAGAAATTGGTAAAAAAATATTGGAATACGTCGGTTGAAAGATCTCAAATGATATTTGAATCAGGGGGAGAAACTAATACACAAGAATATTGTACTCTTTTTCCTTCACTAGGATTTTTTTCCCACTGGGTTTTAACGAGGCATATTCTTTGTGTAATGTTGGACATCTAAGGGGGAGTGTTATGAAATAATGTGGATGTCCATTTAGTTTCCCAAGAAGTTGATATTCCCCTAGTACATTAATCTTATTTCTAGAACAACACAATGTATGTTCTTGAAAGACTAAGTTCATGAATGAGTAATTAATATGATTCATGTATCATCATCTTAGTTTGTATATAAATAGAGGTATTCCTATCTCACTTTGTGATAGCAATAAAAAACGAATAAAATAAAATTTCTCTCAACTTCTCGTCTACTTTTCATTTCTACTTGAAAAATTCCCTAAGGACCCAAAATATGGGACCAATAGAGGGGACAAGTGAGGTGTCCCCCTCCTATTGGATAATGAGTTGGCTATCATTAATGATGTCCAACTCATTATTCAATAGGAGTAGGATACCTTACTTGTCCCCTCTATTGTCCCATATTTTGGGTCCCTGTAGCAAAGCTCTTTCTACTTTATTAGTTTTACAACATCTAGTTAGTATTTATCCATTCTAGAATGTTTGCAAACCAATCTCTCATCGATTATCTTGTTAAATTCTATTTAAATATAATAAATGACTTGGTTATTTATCCATTTGATTCTATTCGAAGCCGGAAAATTTTAAGCTCAAGGCCTTAAATAGCATGAGAATCACCGTGCAGCCCAACTCCATTAGTCGCGGCACCCCCCTCCCCGCTCTGACCTCCGTCGACGATGTCGCGGCCGTCGATTCCTCAAGCAACAGCAGGTCTCTCTCTCGATCGGTTCTGTTCACTGTTGTCCTTTTAAGTTTTAGCTCGGACGATTAGGGTTACAGAACCTAATTTCTTTATTTGGCTCGATCTTTTCGCATGATTTTGCTCTATTCATTGTTTGATTGGTCATGAGTTTGAGAAATCAAGAACCAAAAATTTACAAAATCTTGCTTTTTTATCATCAAGTTCAATTGTTACTAAGAGTTAGTTTGATTAATCATGCGAGTAATTTAGACTGATTTATAGGTATGAGACCTAATATATTCATCTAGAAAAAAAGAAAAATTAGTTCAATTAAAAGGTGGGTAAGTGTTCAGGTAATAAGGGCCGTGATGCGATGAACTCATTCTTCGGTAACCTAGGGGAAATGTCATGGAATGCAAATAATTAACGATGTTATTTGGTTGAGAATTATTAGCAAAAACGGAGGGTGGATCAAACAAAACAATGCAGCAAAATTGAGGATGTTTATGGACAATGGATAATGTAAGTTATAGATTATTTGTTATATCATTTCCACCCTTAACTTTAATCACGTGGGAAATCTTATATTTGTATTCTATGATGACAAAGACTTTCGAGTTGATTTGAGATAACACACTCAGATCATCAGATTAATTAAATGAAGTGACTGTAACTGGAGGAAGAACCCTATATTAGAAACCTTTAAGCTATGTAGAAAGACTAGGCACAAAATTGCATTCTACTTGCTCCTTTGTGATATTTTAACACCCTGTCGCGTTTTAAAATAATTAGATGGATAAATTCCCTCCACTTCCCTAGCAACAACAGCAACAACATCAAAAGCCTTTATCTCAGTCGGCTACACAACCCCAAACATTTGGGATAAAGGCACATGAATAATATTATGCACACTATGTATTGTTTGTTGGACACATGCTTGGATATTGTAACCCCTCCTGCTAATACAAATGCTTGTATAAACACTCGACAAATTGCACATTTCTAAAGTCTCTTTGTGCGATACAAAATCTACACTATGCAACACATGCTACAAACTGAATGCTCAAGCAATATGAGAAAAAGTATAACAGGGATGGTTTTAGGTGAATTACATATGAGAATATGCAAGATGTCTTTATCATATTGGGTATGGGAGTTTTCACATATCTTTATCATGCCTCTCCATGAGGAGTTCCACTCCGAATTCAGGCTCTACAACTAATCTCATTGAAGGGCAGTGTTGATAGTTTGGGGATAGAGAGAAGTTAAATTTTGAGAGGATAAGGGAGAGTACAATCTTCAATTCAACCATAGCAAAGTTCTGACCTAAACATGTCCGGCGTCCAATACCAAAAGGTGCATACATGCATGGAAGCTGAGTGGCAGACCTTGCTCCTTTAGCAAACCTCTCTGGTTTAAACTCATTTACATCAGTGCCCCAGGAGCTAGAATCATGGTGCAATGTTGCCAGAGGTATGGAAATGTTAACACCTTTGGGGATGTGGATGCCCCCAAAATCCATATCTTGAAGTGTCTCCCTTGCAAGGAGTCCTGTTGGGGGGTAGAGTCGAAGGGTCTCTTGGATCACCATGGTCAACTGGAGCAAAAATAGATTGGCAATGAAATTTTAGAAAAGAGGAGACAACGTAAGGAAGCATTTGTAAGGATTTAATAGTGGCTTGGATGTATAATTGGCTATTAAAAATTAACCCTAGTGGAAGAAGCATTTGTAGGCATATACTAGAATTGGAACAGCCTGATGGTTATTTATATCTATGGTTAGTAAATGATGTAATAGTCACTTCATGGAGTAAATTTTGGTCCATTGGTCGGTAACGGATCCAAGTTGAGATCAGACGTTGCTGCATCACTTTGCACTCTGTTGTCTCAGTTCGCCATGCGTTATTATTTCAATAGAAGAAAGATGGTCCGATGACAAGTGGGTCTGATACAAATTGGACTAAGTCTAGGATTTACGCCTAGATCTATTAACTAAATTAAAGCTGTTTGATACAGATTATAAGGCTAGACAACATTGGAGTTTGTGAAATCATTTTGGCTCAGAGGCTTAGGTCCAACCTGATTGAAGTTTTTACCTTTTCATATCGATTTTGGACCAGTACCCAATAGCTAATAGCCTAATACCCTAGGTCTGCATTTTGTTCATGATTTCCTAGATGAAATTTGGGACGCCCAAAGACAAGAACTCGAGTCAGTTAGCCACTCACCGTCTTCATCTTTTGGAGTGAATTGGCAGTTGGTGGACGACCATTACAAACCTCCACCACCTCATCACGAGCACGTTTCTGCCATTCTGGGTGAATACTCAACATCAACAGGCACCAAACAGCGGTGACAGCTACAGTCTCGTGTCCTGCGATGTATATAGTTTTGCAGTTGTCCACCACGAAGTCATCGGCATTCTTGCTATCACCTGGTGTCTGAAGGATGGCCTGCAATAGGCCTTTTTCTGATGCACATCCCTCTCCTCCCCCATCCTTGATCAACTTGAGGATTAGGGAGCGGACTTCTTTGTTAAGTCTCCAAACTTCTCTGTTGCGTCTCGTGGGAAGGTACCTAATGTATCACATTGATGTTAATAGAATAGCTTAGTTGGCTAAGGGTTCGCAATGCAGAAAATTAATTCTACAGTATGTCAGTGCTAATTATTTACTCTTCTAGAAGTAATACTACATTAAACTAATGAATTATCTATCCTGACTGGACATAGGAGAACTATACGTTCCATTTAAATTTAACTTGTAAAGGGATTAAGCCCTCTTTTAGTTCTTGAAAACATGCATGGGCGCCAACATGCAAGTACATGCACATTCTCAAGCACACGAGTGCAGACATAAACACACATGCATGCAGCTGCAGATGACAGGGGGTGTTCTTGAGAGAATCTTCATGTTTATTTTTATTTACGCAGACAGCTAAACACAGCTAAACACACACTCTTTAAGAAGGACAATGGGCAGACAATCAAGATGGTAACTCAAGTTTTGGGATTATTACAAGTAGAATGGATATAACTGACCTGTTCAGATTTTGTTGTCGCGAAGATATAGATCATTTGTATGTTTTTTCATTAGCTTATAATATTTACAACTCATCTTCAATGTTGCATAAATTTATGAAGAAAATTGAAGATTAATGAAAAATAGAGCCTAATGTGCTTACGCGTATAATGAACAAATTACTATCAATGGGAGGTTCCCCTCTGAATAAAGGTTTTTCCCCTCACAAATGCCACTTATGTGTTTTCTTTCTATCGTAGAGTCTATTCTAGGTAAACATTCATGGGGGAACTTTGAAAACATCTTGGATTTTAGAAGGTTCGTCAAAAGAGGTAAAAGCAAGGTGGAAAACTTCTTAGTGTAAAAACATTTTTTTAGTGGGAGATAAAGGTGAAAGAGAGATCAAAGTAGAAGAAATTGTCCTTCTACATTTTGGTTAAAGAAAAATGAAACCTTGAGAACTCACATACCTCAGTCCACCAATTTCTACAAGTAAATTTCGTTTGGATAAAGCTATTTTTAGAGCCCTAAGCTTTGAAAATATTTCTTTTCCTTCTGAATAGCTGCTCCCGAAACACGCTCTTGAGATCACATCAGCGGAATAATTTCGCAAATCCTCATCAACCTTTATTTCTGACAGACCTTTTTCATGCTGGATTTTACTTTCCCATGATTCGATTAATGGTCTGGCAGACTCGACCATTAAGTCCACCATCCCCTGCATATATAGATTCTTATCAATAATTATGAAGGCTTTAGAGCAGACAATTACCATGCTTCTTAGCGTTTACCCTCAGCTATTATTTTGTTGCATTTGGATAATGGTAATTCAAAAAATTTCACAAAGAAATGAAGTTAATTTATTTTTTCACATGTCCTCATTTTTAGTTCAAAATTATTCTTTTAAATTTACTTATTTGCGTATCTCTGTGTCTCTCAGATGCTATCATGGCAAGTCTACTATATCTTGCAATGCTGTGAGGTGTTATCTATAACATGGTTTGTGTTTGATTGCTTATTTGGATTTGTTTTTTGTTTTGGATTAATTATTTTGTAGTACTTTCATTTGAAGATGTAAACGAATTTGGGTTTTCTTAAGGTTGCTGACTGTACTGAACATGTGAATTGGAAAAGAAACTACATTTCAGTGCAAAATTATAAATCACAAAAATGATTGACCAGTCTTCACATAGGAACAGCTAATTTAGAAATTCTGGTTTTTAACTAGACAATCAACAAGTGCCGCCGAAAACAGTAGACTTTTGTAGTCTAGGACACCGATATGTTGTTTTGATGATGTGAACATATTACCAATTGAGCATTTGAAAACATAATTTTTCCACAAAAAGAGATGAGAATTTTTAGGCTTTATTGCATTGAGCAATGACAGTGATGCATCTCAGTAGTCTAGGTGTCTAGTCTTACTCTTCTGTCCGAGCAATGAGTTAGTCCTGAACTAATAAAAGTTGTTACCTTAACTTTGTCCAAGAAGAATTCTGGGGCGATCATTTTTCTTTGGTCAGACCAGGCCTTGCCATTTGACTTTATAATACTGTGACCAAACAAAGGCTCCTGTGTCTTTTTCATGTATGTAGACTTCCCCAAATCCAAAGACAGGCAGAGGCTCATATCCCCCACCAGCTCAGGATGGCTTACATGTAGAAAGGGTACATTTCTCATTGAATACGAAAAAACTGGGCCTGCAAAGAGCAGAATGATATATAGACAAGTATCAGCTCAATGATAGATAAGTTAATGAGCTCACTAATATATAAACTTTAGTCAAATGTGGAGGTTTTATAAACTGCAAATTGACGAGCAGGCGGACACTGTTGGGATTGTGTCTTTAATTCTTTGTATAACTTCATGAGAATTAGATAGGGTTAGAGATCTATCATGATTAGGAGATTGAGCCTCATCATAATTAGGAGTTTGAATCCAATTCTAATTAGGAAGTTAGGTTAGAGATATGGTTTTGGTTTCCCTATATATATTCTTCTTTTGTTAGAGGAAAAACCAAGCAGATGAGAGAGAGCCAATATTCTTGTAATCTAGGGTTAGCAGAGGGCGTAGCCTGATTCAAGAATATTGTGCGAGAGGCGAGGGTTTCGTAGTCTTTGTCCATGCAAAAGATTACATCATTGGGAGAGGGTTTCGCAGTCTTTGTTCGTTCAAAAGATTGTATAAGCAGAGGGTTTCGAAGAGAATATGAGAGTTGATTATGTATGTTAGGTTGAGAGATTGAGAGACGAGAGTTGAGTGGTTCCTCTTGTAGTTCTCCCTGATACATAGTGGATTTCTCGTATTTTTGCCCGTGGACGTAGGTCGAAGTTGGTCGACTGAATCACGTAAATCTTGGTGTTTTTTTTATTGTGGTTGTTTTATATCTTGTTGATTGTGGGTTGGCTTCCGAGTTGTGAAGATCGTAGTTCGCAGGGAGACTAAAATTCCCCAGTAGACACAACTACAGAGGCAATAAGGACAATGGGTATACTTGTTACTTGCTATCAAAGCTGTATTTATAATATTGGGGAGAATTTGAATTACCTGAAACTGTAGGCACTACACCTAATGACTAAAACTTTTTCTCAGTAGTATGGTTGCCGTCGTTCCTCATCAGGGATATGAAGAGATAATGTCGGCATTAGACTTTCAAAAGGATAGCCCCTTTGTGCAATCACTGCACTCAATAGTTGTAAACTTTAAACTGTAAATGAAGGAAATTTCACTTACTTTCTTGGTAGAATTAAATATCAGAATCCTCCCTATAGATTCTCAGATGCTCTTAAGCATGAAACAGGAAGATAACACTAACAGGATTGGACAGATTGACATAAACTGGCGCCAAATAAACATATGATGGCTGCAGTAACCTTTGCTGCAGGCCAATGCTCCCTTGTAAAACTAAAGAATCAAGTATAATATTACCTGCTCAACTAAAGAACAACAAACATACAAATTTACATAGTAGAGTTTATCACTAACAGAACAAACATATGGTGACATACTGCATGGTAGCAATAAAAATTTGTCACGGGGTTGTTCAAGAGTGTTTCTGTGATTCAGTAAGTGATTTAAGACTCTTGGGAAGACAAAACTAAGATTAATCTGAACCACTGAGACATTGTAAGATAACGGGGGAAAAATTATCATGCAATAAAAAGAAAGTAAGGAACGGAGATAAGTACCGTATCTTTTCCTCCACTTCTCAAAGTACGGGAACACTGTTGGTCCATAGTCATGTGTTATTGTTTCTCTTGCCTTTTCCTGCATTACTAGTCTCTCCATCTCTGTTAAATTACCATGAGGAAATGATGGTGGTGGCCCTTCTATTCCTTGCCGCCTTAGCTTATTACAAATTCTTTGCGGTTGCAACCACATGACATTATAAAAGTACAACACTGCACTACAAAACCCTATCGAACACAAAGAGAGCAAGACCTCCATGAATATCTCCTTTCTCTTGGTCTCCCCCTCTCCTCTTCCTTCATGTTTTAGTCCTTGCTGAAGTGACTTATATATCATTGTTTCTCTTGGTCTCCCCCTCTCCTCTTCCTTCATGTTTTAGTCCTTGCTGAAGTGACTTATATATCATTGTTGGTATTCTATTTTAGTTATGTAGCTACTTCATGTTTTAGTCCTTGCTGAAGTGACTTATATATCATTGTTGGTATTCTATTTTAGTTATGTAGCTAGCTTAGAATATGGCCTTCAGCAGCTAAGTCAAAACAGCACCTGCGACTTGGCTTCTCAAAAATAGCAAATGCTCTTGAGAATGACTTCGTCACTATCTTATTTTAGAAATAGTCACGTCTTGTTAAGCATAACTTTGATAGTTTTCAGATGCTTTGGGTAGTTGGCTTGCTTAGTTTCACATTAAAGGTTATGCTTTTCTCCAATGCCCTTGGTTTGGTCCATCCACATTCATCTGGTTCAGATAGGTGGAAGGGCCAAGCTTATATTTCTTACATATACTTTTTTTTTTTTGCCAAAATATATTTCTAGTCTGCCCACACCTTTAAATATCATCATGATAGAACGCGATACCTAGACGACCATCACAGAAAACCATGCACCGATATATAACCAAGGCCATTCAAATTGATATGTAGTTTTCAGTTAAAAAAAAGTTCATAAGATCGTTCCACATACGAGCATGATATTCTGAGCCATTCACTGGGAAGGTAGAAGTATAGTTTTGGAGATTTCATTTTCACCTGCTCACTTGCGGCGTATTCTGATAAGATTTGTATTCGTATGTGTTGTGCTGTTTTTTAAATTCAACAACGTCCCTATAGCATAAAGAGATACGTCATGCTTTCTTGGGCTGGTTTAGTAGAGATAAACTATGTTTCGCCCACTTGTAAGGCCAATTGTTCGAGGTCCTTTGATATTTAAAATTATTTCAGGTGTGACGTTGCTTCGAAGAGTAATTGCTATGCAGCATCATGTTGACTTTTTGGCTTTTTAATTACTTGAAGAAGAAGAAGAAGAAGAAGAAGAAGAAGCATCTTTTCTATTTAGGATAATCCGGGAACTTGGTATAGTGAATTGAATCCTTGCACCAGTACCCAATTATTATGTGCTGGTCCTGTTTTTATATAGTTAGAAGTTTAGGACAGGCTGGTAATTAATAAAATTAGGTTTCATCACATGATGATGTACTGGGATTTTTTCTGTTCTCTATCTAGAATTGGTTACTGTGTGTGTATTGGGCCATGCTTGGTTTAGAATAATATGGAAAGCTACTCTTGTACTTAATTTTCATTGTTGAGTGTGGTTGAGGTGTTACAATCTCATAGGTTTGTGCTTGCTCAATTAATGGAAGTCAACTATTTTGAATGTCAGTGTGATTGTGACATTGAATGGAAGGTGAGGGATTATATAAAGCACAGATAATAAATGTGGATGTGTGTTATTAGAAGAAAGGATATCAATGACATAGTTTGGGAAAAAAGTCAGAGGAAGTTGCCTAGATGCATGTATTACTAATTTAAATATGCACAGTTTCTTGATATGGAGGAAGATTCCATCAGATATAGCAAAAGTTCCTCCTCAGTACAGAGGAAAATTCCATCAGATATAGCAAAAGTAGCAGACTCCTAATAAGAAAAAGTATCAAATGGTCTTCGGTTTATGGCATTTAATGTGCACAAAAAAGATGTTAACTATTGGATCATTAGGCCTCAAGATTCGTGCACGTATCTAATGATTGACATCTATTTGGTGTACATTAAATGTCATGGACCATCCCCACTAGATACTTTCTCTGTTACTAAAAAAAGGGAACAATAATATTTAGGTGTAAAATATTTCATCTCGATCTAATTTGCAATGCCTAGATGAGTTAGATATGAGTAACGTGATTATTAAACGGTTGGATGAATCTCACTGAGTTAGATATGAGTAACGCGATTATTAAACGGTTGGATGAATTGAGATAGTCTATTTTAACTGCATCCCCTATTCACCAGGGTGCATTATTCGATACATATACGTATACTTCGCCATATTGTATCTTGCATGATCGTATCACCATTGTTAATGGAAAATAAATATAAAGAAAATCATGGTTTAAAAGAGATATAGTGCATAAAAGCAAAGGTTGAGTGGACCAATACGACAAGTCTTTTTACAAATAATAGCAGAACACTCAAAGAGTGATTACATATTCTGACTGGAGTCTCAAATGATGAATTAGAATGACAATTTAACTAATGCTCCGCCCATTGTATTACTCAGAAATGTAATAGTACAGCCTCCACATGTTTAGTGTCTTTCAAGTCAGAGTTGAGTTTGAAAAATGGACGGTGGATTTAGAGTGACTGTTACCATATTGAAACCAAAACACATGAATTTGGCAGAAGTCGCATCCTAAAGTAACGTGTAACCCAAGTACCAATATTATGCTCAAAGTCTTGTTCTTGCCCATATAATTTAATGCAGTTTTATCAAATATGCCCCTCAAATTTTTTATATTAGCAAAATTACCCCTCAAATATTTTGGTATTTGCAAAAGTGCCTCCTCAAAGCTAGCATATTAGGTCTTTCTATCGCTCTAACTTCAGAATATCGTTTTTTAAACAAGAAAATATCTAAATTCCCAATAATATCCAATATGTTTGCAGCAATTTCCCGTTTAAAAAACTAATATTATTAAATGGAAGGGGCAGAAAAAAAATCAACGTGGGAGAATTGGTGGGCAATTTTGCAATAACAAGATTTGGGGATAATTTTGCAAGTATGGAAAATTTGAGGGATATATAAGCAAAAACCCGTGATTTAATATCCATGCCAATCCAGAAGGTCTTTGCTTACTAGTTAATTTAAGTTATCTGAAAAGCAACTATGGACTATGACTAGAATTTCAAGCTTACACTTCTGTTTGAATCTCAATCATTGAAAATTCTTTCAGACCATTGATTTATGGACGGCTTTTTATCATCTTGTTTTGAGGTGAACTACGAATGATATCCTCGTTATAAGTAAGGATATAATTGGTCTACAGATTAATGATTTCATTATAACTCGCCAGCCGCTGGCTTGTACATTATTCTCTTCTAGACGCTGTCTATAAATACTGCCCGCTGGCTTGTACATTATTCTCTTCTAGACGCTGTCTATAAATACTGCAGGCTTGTACACCCGTCTATAAATAGTGCAGTGCTCTGTAGCGTGTATGGTCTGAACTGTCCACAATACAAGTTCTCCATGCGGCTATTTGATGACCAAACCATTTATTGATTCTTTTGTGTCCCTTGATGTTTTTCTTTGTGAAAAGAGAGCATTTACATCTAAAGCTTTGATCTAAACGCGCAACGCGCCAAAACTGAATCAGATTTCGTCCAGGGATCGAATCGAAACGGCAACATAGAAGAGCATAATAAGCATTTCATATACTCATCGGCAACATAGAAGAGCATAATAAGCATTTCATATACTCATCATCCGATGTTTATCACAAATGTCTATTGACAAATGAAAGGGGCAAAGATTTTAGGTACCGTTTGGCAAAGGGTTAAGTGAAGGGTTAAGGAGACTTAACCCCTTCTTAACCTGCCAAACACAACAAATCTATATAAGGGTTAAAGTGAATTAACCCTCCATAATTTGCCAAACATAAAAAATATAGAAGGGTTAAGTTAACCCCTCTAGAGGGGTTAAAATGAGTTAACCCCTCAAAATGAGGGGTTTACTAATACTATTATTTAGATGGAATAAGAGTTAACCCTTCTAATTATAAAGAAAATAGTCAAAATCACTGTTATTCCCAATATTTAGATGGAATAAGAGTTAACCCTTCTAATTATAAAGAAAATAGTCAAAATCACTGTTATTCCCAAACACTAAAACTGATCATAAGGGCTAAAATAAAAATTATTTAACGGGTTAATAATTTAGTCCTTAGGATTATCAAATGGGCTAAGTACATTAATCATTCTCTTTAACCCCTCTTCATTAACCCTTTACCAAACGGGACCTTAAAGATTGATTCAATGTTTACATTTACTCTATTCAGGAAGCTACATCACTTCAAAGGTAAGCCAAAGTACAGCCAAACCAGACTGCACCAACACGACAACAAAAACCAGAAAAGAAATGATAGAGGCACACCTTGGACACACCACCAACTACACTCCCCCTCTATCTACAGTGCAGGGGCCCCACATGTGATTTTTTTTAAAAATCACATGTGGAGCCCCTGCACTGTAGATAGAGGGGGAGTATGGTTGGAGGGGGAGTGTGGTTGGTGTGCCCAAGGGTGTGTCCCTAACACCCCTCAAACCAGAAAGAAACTCTCCCTTTCCTTTTCTTGTTAGGATGCGTAGCTGATATAATCTTCAGTTTAAGAGGATTTTCATTTAACTAAATAAATATTACAAAGCACTATTCTATTCAGTTTGTCGCTGTCTCCCTATACTTAATTTTACATTGTATTTCAATGAGAATGGAACAAACAAAATCCTGGATTCAAAGTGTACCATGACATTCCAAAATTTGTGAAGGTAACAAATTCACTTGAACTAACTTGAAGCGACCAGGGCCCTGGCATTTTCATCGCAGGTGATCTCTCTCTCTCTCTCCACCTGAGAAGATTACTGCCAACCTAAACGGCATATCTTGCTGTTCTTTATAATATTGAAATCAACCTGAAAAGATTCAAAAAATGATTGGAAATTCAGTTCATATTCAATAATTTCCTCTCAAACGTGAAAAGAAATATCAAACCTTGGGTCCAAAGAGGTCCCGAATGTTATTGATCCCGTACAGAATCATTGTTGGCCTGGTTTTCGAAGAACAAATATTTAGTAGGAAAAGCTAGCATCATTAATGAACTTCAACAGTTATGTAATTACACCAGAAACTTACAGCATATACCTTATGCATAAGTACACTGGTGTGCAAACGCCACAGAAATTGAAGTACAAAAACTGTCGATGAAGAGAACAACACTAGATATACA